GCAGTTAGCGTGTGAGTAAATCGCGGGATTATCGATGAAAATCTGAAAAGTACCGCTGAGTATTGTTTATCACAATAGTCGGTAATTCTACGAAAGTACGAAGTAGATCGCACGAACTGCTGAAAACAGTCTACAGTAGAAGAGCAAGGAAGCAGGGAATTCCCCAGTTGACGACAGAGACTTCTAGCTAACCGTAGAAAATAAGTTATAGGATTAGATATTAAAAACGTTTTCATTTTTGGAGTAGATTGCAGAACGGTTGAGGACAGAAGGATCACCTGAGGAACAACACTCAATAATAATCCCACGCTTGGATGTCGTAATGGAGACGAGGAGCGTTGAACCGAGCGAATAAGTTACTGTCGAGTATTACATACCTCAGTTGACGATGAGGAATCGTTCATTTGTCAGCTAATAGCTCATGATATCATAATGTGAAACTTTGTGTTGTGCAGACATCAGGAAAGTTTCGGAAACCAGCTAAAGGCGATGTCAAATGAAGCAAAAAGTTGTTTACCTCTATCATCAGCTGTTTCATGACATCCTGGAAGAAACTGTCGCACTAAAATATAATTATCAACGGGTCGCTGTTGACAAAACTAAGAACAGTGCGCTAGATGACGTTTTCGGTGTGGTACTAAAATACAATTTTTATCTTTTGGGATGGATTTCAGGCTTATCGATAAAACATTACAAGTACTGCCGATTAATACTGATAACTACCCATGACAGTATTTTTTTTGACAGTGCACAGTAAGTCGCGTAACTAGCAGATAATTGGCATGATGCCGTTTTGAACAAGACTTGAACGTAATCTGGGGTGGAGCGGCAGTAAATAAAACACAGTTAGAACCAAAAATTATTTTTGGTATATTATCGCAGAAAGGCCACAAAGTTGGAATAACCACTACTTATCGTATATCAGTACAATAAGTAATACTCAGTACTAACCGTCTGTCATCGGTCTTTCTTCGATAGCATGCAATAGAAAAACTAAACAAAAAACTTTCACTAGGCTATCGCCGTAAACAAAACAGCCGAAAGAAATGTCAGCAGAATTGGTCGTAGTTTGTATTCCAATGTAATGGATGTTTGAGATCTAGAAAATAAAGTATATCGTTGTAACAGCACAACGCAGCGATATCACCAACCCCTACGTTGTCAGGCTCCACCTACGTGGGTGAATAGTGAGTCAGGCAAGATGACAATTCACAGACTTCTTAAAAGTACAAACATCTTTTTTTACCTCTTTAGTGCTTTAAGTTAACGGTTGGTCAAAAATGGTCGTATCTTTAGGGCTTACACCTTGTGCTGATTATTGCACTGGGTGTTCAGGTGGATCAAGGAGACTAAAGTCCTGAAGAGCTTACATCACACAGCACAGTCATACCGTTCGCTCCATTCCGTAGGATCACAACAGCACAACACCACGTTGTCTGTTATCTGCAAACAAATGACTAGCTGGCCGTTTTTGAGCTGGTTGCAGCAAAGAACGCAATGCGGAGTGAATTCATTGTTCAAGGCAATAGTAGATAAACAGAATTCTTTCACTATTGTGGTATTCTACACCACACCTGCTGAGTTCGAAGACAACCTCTTACTAAATCGAGACAGTCTGGTGGAAAGAACCAGAACCGTGAGGTGCTAGGTTCGAGCCGCGGCCAGGTAAATTGCCTTACTTTCGTCTGAGGTTGATAAGTGAGTACCATTTTTTAGTAAGAAAACAGTTCACACTGTTTGCCATATAGCTGTCTTAAAAAATAAGACACTCCTGGTCGACTGCAAGGAGATTGGCATCGTAGAATTAAATCTATTACAATAAGTATGCCGCAAATAGCCTTAAACACGAAAGTGTAAGGGTGACAGATATCCATCAGTTGCAAACTTTCCTTTTTCCTCCTTTCTTACCACTGCCTCCTGCAGAGTTACAGCACTACATTAGTCGAACGCTCAACTGTGCAGCTAGATCTTTCACCAGCTAGTTTTGTAACATTTATTCGAGGGAAGATGGAACAGTTAATTATTGTAATTTCCATTTATATTACTATCAGAATCGAAGGTCTGCTTACAAAAGTAACTGCTTAAAAATGTACTAATCACTCGCAATTCTGGAGTAACCTTCAAGAGAAGAGAAATGAGCTTTTTGGACTGCGGGTTTTCACACAAACCAAAACAGCACGCACGAAACAATAAACCTACCCCTCTCAATCATCGCATAAATCCTCGTGAAAAACTTTAAAATAGGATTATGGTCCAGGATACCTGTTTCGAAGCCAATTTTTACCCGAAAGATACGCTGACTTTCGCCGTCTGTACCAAAGACAATGAAAAACAATTGTTGCAAATCCATCGCATACCCCCAACATGCGGTGCTACCCGATAGCAAATTTTTCACAATTTGGATAGTGTAAAGATAAAAAATTTGATTCTAAGCCTGTTTTACGAACGCTGTTAAATAAATAACGTAGACATCAGAAACAAACATAAAAACTAATTTAAATGTTACGTTCAACTGCGGTATCAAAAGTTGCCTCTCGCGGTTGGGCTCTATTTTGTCATTTATTCGCCTGTGGACCGTGGCACTCTTGTTAGCCCTTGAACATACTTTGTTTTATCCAACCAAAAGACATAGTCAAGCGGCCTATACACTGCAGGCATTTAAATACAATGAAACCATGGCGTTTAAAGGATAAAATAATAAAATAAGAAGCGTTTAAAAAAATTTTCTTCCTTAACACTGCACATTTTCATCGTTTCAATCCGGAACCATTATTTTTAATGAAAAACTGATTTTATTCTCACTTCATATAAAACCACCAACCGAAAGCAGTACCGGGCAGTAAACAGTAAAAAAATACGGTCGCCTGCCAGCATCCACTTCAGCGGAAACGAACGTAAGGCCCAAGGTCTGAGGAAGTGATGAGAGATCGAACGACGTGCGAACTGCAGGAGGCACACTGCTAATTAAAACGGGACCTTTTTCATGAGCAGGTAAACATTGTGGTCAACGTCGAAACCGTGAAGGTTATTGGCGTCGCCCTGCAGTCGCATCAG